CCCACCCACTGGGAAGAAGTAGAAGGAACACAGGCATGTGGAGGGCTCAGGACTCCACATGTACTTGGGGCTCTGCATTGTCCTTCCCTTGTCTTTCTCAACTGAAGCACACACAATATACCAGGAAAATTTGACTCAGGCCCCACAGCTGTTCTCTTCATCTGCCCATCCTTCTTGAGTCTTTTTGTACTTCATTCTGAAGTCAATCCAATCAGGAGTGGCTTTTGACTTTAAAGATGAGGGTTTATTTACATTGCTGATCTTATATGTCAGTAGCTTTTGCACCCAGATTCAAGGATTTAAAATATTTCTAAAAAGTAGGCATGTTTGTGTTGTATATGTGAAGACCTTCTTATAATAACAAGCTATGTAGTGGTTACTTGGTTTTAGGCTTTATAGTAACGAGGTGATGTCAAGAACAAGGGAGGGTGTGTATTGTAGTCTGTGTGAAAATATCAACACTTCATGTAAGGTACTTTGTGATATTTTCTATGGTACTTGGACCCAACCTTCACAGCTTCTGAGGGACAGATGTCTGTAACTCCAAGTGTATCTGAGACAGGAGGAATGCACTCTCAGGTGCTGTCCCACTTCTAAACCTTGACCTTGTTTCTGTGCCTCTTTTGGCTGGGGTCATTTTGCTTATATAGACATCAGTTGTGCTTATATCTTTCCTTCAGTAGACTGTAAATTCCAGCTTTCAAGTTTGAGCTTTTGCATTTTGATCTTTTACGAGGTTTAGAGCAGGCTTCGGTGCTTCAATTCTAGTTGTTGCTCAGTAAGTGTATGCAGAGTAAGAGAAGGAGTGGAGGTGACTGCAGCCCAGGCACTGGGTTACCTGTTTTATGCCTACATTGTTCTGCTTCTTTCCATAATTTAGGTAGTGCTATATGACAGTAAGGATAGCTACATTTTCCCATCTTCCCCCAACTGAAACCTTGCTTTCAAACGTGGAAGTATATGAAAGGGCCCCAGAGTAAGTAAAAGCTAATGTCCTTAGCATTCAGTGATGAGCCAGTGCTGGTCCTTGGCTTGGAGGAGGGCATACTTATTTCTGAGCAGCCTAACGAGAGCAGACATGTTTGGAATTGCCCTGGAGGTGGGAGAAAAGAGAGAAGCAAGACAGAGCAGCAGCATCTCGCTGGGCATCCCTTCTGCTCCGCTGACCTGGCACTGAGGCTGTACACTCTCTGGGGCATGAGATTCCTTTGCTGTTGTATAAAATTTAATCTCCCCTACAAGATTGGAAGTCATTGGATAGAGAGTGACTGTGGCTATTTGGCATTTGGTACTCTCTCTCACTTTGCTTTTTGAGGTAGGATGTAGTTATGTATCCCAGGCTGGCCATACACTCACAATGCTCCTGCTTCAGCCTCTTCAGTTTTGAGAAACGGAGGAGTTTTAAAAACTAATAAAAAATTCTAAAAACTAAAATAAAAAAAATTACCAGTATTTACTGATGATTCTTAACCAAAGAGTTGGTTTATTTTGGTTCTCTATTTTTGTAGACTCTTAAAAGTTACCCCAAATAATGGTAAGATCTATTTTTGTGAGTGTAAGATCTCTTTTTGTGGAGAAATTTTTGTCAGTGTTTTCATGTTGGTGCAGCATGTTGAAATAAGACGTGAGATATATGAGATTAAGTTAAATTATTGTTGTTGCTATTATTATTATTATTATTATTATTATTATTATTATTATTATTATTATTTTGAGATAGGGTTTCTCTGTGTAGCCCTGCCTTCCTAGACTACCTGACTTTATAGACCATGCTGGCCCTGAGTTCACAGAGATGTGCCTGCTTCTGCTTCCTAACTGCTCGGATTAAAGGCATGTGCCACCACTACCCAGTTTAAATGATTTTTATTTTGTCTTTTTTTTTTTTTTTTTCCTTCCCCAGAGCTGAGGACCGAACCCAGGGCCTTTGCTAGGCAAGTACTACCACTGAGCTAAATCCCCAACCCCTTAAATGATTTTTAAATTAAAATATTTTAATAAACATACAAGCTGACAGGTTTCCTTGTGGCATTTTTATACATACTTGAAATATTTTAACTCAGTGACCTAAAGCTTGTCCTGAAAGCCATAGCTCTCATTGCTTAAGACAATCATTATGTGGTGCTGTTCTTGAGAAATCATATCTACACATTTCTGGAAAGCCAAGTCATAGTAAAAATAACCGATAGTGTTTAAGAAAACCATTTATGTTGTATCGGCTTGATAATTTAAAATTAGCAGTGATAACTGTGTTATTTCCTTTCAGATGAGCCAAGTCAGTGACACTGGTAATGTTTTTAATTTCCTTTCATTGTTGAAAATAGGAACAGGTTAGTTCATATTGGTGTTTCAGTTTCCACTGGCAAAAGTTTTGTTCAAGTGTGAATTGATCCTGGCAGCTTGCCTTCCGACTGCTTGCAGTTCCAAGGTCTCCATGAAAGATGGAAAAAGTCCTTTGAAAGTTTTACATTATGTTTTATGTATT